TGGTCTTGGACTACCTGACTAGAAGAAAATGTTTAATCTGTATGCTAGGGAAAATTGTACAACCATGGCTCAGGAACATGGAGGCAAGGCCCTGTTTGCTTTTTTTTCCAAAGTAGTGCCAACTCAGGTTCAGGGCATGCCTGCTTGTCTGAGAGCTGTTGCATCCTGCGTGATGGTAGTAGAGATGGCAATTTCTTTCACATTGGGACATGAATCTACCCTACACACCACACATCAAGTGTCCATACTACTGAAAAACATACACACTCAACACATGACAGTACAAAAGTTGAGTGGATATGAAGTGATTCTTCTATCTGATCCCAACTTGATTATTAAATATGCTTCAGCAAATTCAGACCCTGCTTCAATTTTGAATGCCCTACTGGGGCTAAAGGGGGAACAGGATGAAGTGGCACCAGAACACAATTGTATAACCCACATACAGCAAGACACTTCCCCTAGGCCCGACATGTCAGCTGTGGCTGTTGATGGGGCCCCAGATGTGTTTGTAGATGGCTCATGCTCTAGGCCAAATGATAAATACTTACCATGCAGGATATGCCATTGTGCAACTTCCTGACAAAATACTGGAGGCAAAGCCAATTCCATATCAGTCAGCTCAAGCAGCCGAACTGATTGCTCTTACAATTATTTGCAGGACAGGATGTCAACATCTACATAGACTCCAAGTACGCCCATGGTGCTGTACACGATTTTGGGGTCATTTGGAGAGAGAAGATGATTCATTGCTGCTGATGGCAAAACCATATCTCACTCTAACTTGATATCTGATCTGCTCAAAGCCATACAGTTACCGAAAACATTAGCCATTCTTCATTGCAGGGCACATATAAATCGCAGAGATCATATTGCCAAAGGAAATGTATTAGCAGATAAGGTAGCAAAGGAAGCTGCATTACAACAGGTGGCCAGTGAACAGATGCCTATGCTCATTTCAGGTGTCACAACCACACCACATGACCAGATTTATGCAGATTTACAAAAATTTGCTACAAAAGTTGATCTAGCAGACTGGAATGGTTCTGGAGCACAACTAGAAGAAGATGTTACTTGCAATTCTAGCAGAGGTAAGAATGACACCTAATAAGACTACGGGTTATCTCCTTTTGAAATATTAATGGGAAGACCATTCCCTACTCCTTGGGCTAGACAGCCACTTATGTTAGAAAGAAGGGACCTTGACCTGGTACAACAAGAATATGTGAGCAAATTGATTCAGACTTTAGATCAGATTGAAAGAAATGTTGCTCGCACCTCTCCTTTATTTTCTCAGGAACCAACACACTCTTTCCAAGTGGGAGATGTCGTAGTGGTCCGCCAACTCGCTAAAGACAAGAAGCAAGGCTACCCTTTTAGACTGCCTACTACGGTGATAGCGGTTACCAGAACGGCTCTTCTGGTGAAGAATTCCCAGTACTGGATCCATGCTAGTCGAGTGAAGAAGGTGAACCAAACACCTGAGAAACACGTGACGGAAAAAGGAGGTGAAGTACAAGCGGAAAATCCTCAAAGAGTGGGTGAAATCGGTGAAAAAGACCCTGAAGATGACATTCCTTACTGCCCCTCATGGTGCTTTGAAGATCTGGGTCCTATTGGTCACACTGACTGTGCTTTTTCCTGCCAGTATGGATCATAACTAACTGTATTTATCACCCTGAGGACTTGGGCCTAATAAAAGGTATCTGTGGTCAAGGACTAGATTTAAATAACCAAAAGTTAAAGAAAGTCAAAAAGAAGTTTTGAAGAGAACAATCCTTTTTCAGGAAAAATGTTGATGATGCAGTTTAAATATGCTTATGCTCAAAAGTCAGGTTATGATAAATGTTGGATATGTAGTAAGTTACATCCTAGTACATATGAAATTCCTCTTCTGGCCGTTTCAGTCAAAATATTTTTGTTAATAACAGGGAATGTAAGTATTGGTTTGACCAATATTACTTCTAATGCCACCATATCTTTTCGAACTCTGGTAGTCACTCAACTCCCCGATTGGTGATTTAGACTGGGGAATACTTCCCACAAGGGAAAGGGAATGTGCTCTCAGTCCATATTAAATATATCTGATCCTGGAAGGAGGGATGGAACTTCTTCTGTGAAACTCTGGCAAGTAAATGGTAGAGCCCTGAATGAAAGTTTAGAAGGGATACAAGACAATGTGGGGAAAACTATGTTTGGAAAACTTTTATTTCACACTTGTTGTCACCCCTGAATTTCGCTCTGCAATACAAAAATTGCTGATCTCCTTGGTAAACAATACCTATATCTGTTGTGGTAAGATCTGTTACCCTTGGATACCGAGTAATGTCCAGGGCTGGTGCTATGTAGCCCAATTAGTGCCAATCATGGCAGCTATAGACCAAAAGGAACACCAGGTAAAAGCCAGTACATACCCAAAACACCAACTAACTCTGAGACAGAGAAGGGAAACCAAACAAGAAAAGGTAGATCTATTCTCTATAGGTGATAAGGTTTGGTCATGGTTCCCTACCTATACAGGATGGGGAATAACACTCATGAACAAAATAAATAATTACACAAACGTTATTGATGATATACTGGAGAGGAACTCTAAGGACATAGGGTTGCTAAATACCGAGACCAGAGCTATTAGAAAACAGCTGGAGATGCAAGAATTAGCTATTGAAAGCGTGGGTGCTGCTCTGACAGGTTTGTGTGAGATGACAGAGGATTATGAATGTTGTACTTGGATATATAATACCACAATGACTGTTCCAGATTATTATGAAATAATAAAGCAACACAGGGAACAGGTAGATGGTTTAATGGAAGAAGCCAGAGCTATAGGAAAAGATGGATGGACTCCTTTTGATTGGCTAGGATCAAGATTTGGTTCCGTCTTTTCATGGATGAAAGGTATTGCTGTAAGCATAGTCATGATATTGTTTTTTGTTTTATTTTTATATCTATGTTTTAAATGCTTGTTATATTGCATTGCTAGAGCTACCAAGCCGCAAAATACAAATGAAGGTTATCTGGCTATGTACAAAAAGATGAATGAGGTAAAGAATTGAGATCATGTTCATGATCTAAGAGGGGATTGAAAGGATCTAGATAACCTCCATTTTGTTGATGTACGCCATTTTAAGTATTAAGTTAGGTTTTTGCAGCTATATTGGAAGTTTAATTAAACTGTTTTTGCTTGCACCAGAATGTATAAATAAAAGATAACATGACCCTGAAGTTTTCTTTGTCCGACTAATTCTCAGAAAGCTAGCAAAAACAGTTTATACCAAGAAATGTATATGTCATGTTTCATGTAGATAGCTCATGATGGAAACTTACAAGTTACAGTTTTGAAACTCGCTCCCCCCCCCTCATTTTTTCTGTATCCTATATAATCTTAGTAATATCTAATAAACTTTGAACATATCTGAACATAAGCTGCCGTTATTTCCGTGTTCAAGGGGTGTTCCCAGAATTCTGCTGATAGACCAGGAATCTCTCCACAGACCAGGGGTCTATGAGGGGTTAAAGAGAATCAATCCTTTCACTCACGTATAACAAATCTACTAAGCGACATATCAGCATGGATGTCACATCACTACCTTAAACTCAATCTTTCAAAAACTGAGCTTGTAATATTTCCTCCTCCCCGATCCCCCACTCATGACTTTACCATTAAGATCAACAGCACTAACATTGGTCCTTCCCCTCATGCCAGGGTGCTAGGCGTAATCCTGGACTCTGACCTCTCCTTTGGACCCCACATCCACTCACTGGCTAAATCCTGCCGCCTCAACCTCCAGAACATTTCCAAAATCCACCCATTCCTGACCAATGACACCACAAAACAACTTATCCACACCTTGGTTATATCCCGCCTCGATTACTGCAACTCCCTTCTCATAGGTGTACCGTTACACAGACTATCCCCCCTTCAGTCTATTATGAATGCTGCTGCAAGACTCATACACCTTACCAACCGATCAGCGACTGTTGCCTCTCTGCCAATCCCTCCACTGGCTTCCACTAACTCAACATATAAAATTCAAAATACTAACCACAGCTTACAAAGCCATCCACAACACTGCCCCTAGCTACATCACCAACCTCATCCACAGGTACCCGCCCAAATCGCCCACTCCCCCCCTCCCATGATATCCTCCTCTCTAGCTACCTCATCACCTCCTCCCACACTCGCCTCTAGGACTTCTCCAGAGCCTCTCCCATCCTCTGGAACTCCCTACCACACCATGTCCGGTCAGCCCCCACCCTGTCTGCCTTTAGGCGATCTTTGAAAAACTTCTTCAGGGAAGCCTACCCCACCTCTACCTAAGAACTGTACTTTAATCACCTCCGCCAGATCATCCCCCTCAGCTATCACCTTTTGTATCACCTCCCCCTTCCTTTAGATTGTAAGCTCCACGAGCAGGGCCCTCCTATTCCTTCTGTACTGAAATGTATGGTAATTGTACTGTCTCCCTTATATTGTAAAACGCTGCGCAAACTGTTGGCGCTATATAAATCCTGTATAATAATCATAAAAATAATAATAACTTCTAGTATGAACAGCCAAGGTATTATTCTGTTCATGCTGTCATTCACATACCTAAGGGTGGCACTACATTTGTAGTGCTAGTGTTGGTGTATGACTGTCAGGTTCCCGTGATGCTTTGATGGACAAAGCTTCAACTTCTTCTGCTTGCTATTCTGAATGTGCCTGCCTTTATTGGGAGAGCAAGTCTCCAAAACGCATGGAATAACAGTAGTAAATATGGTGTTAATGCAATGGCAATGGTGGTAGTAAGCAATACATCAGTGTACAGAAGACTCTGTTTCTGGCACAAAGTTTGTATAAACTCCAGATTCGTAGATTAATTTTGTGTTTAATAGTACTAAGTCGTAATCATATACCCTAGTCAAGGCCTTGAAATTTCCACTCGCCTGCTCGCCAATGGAGAGTGGAAATTATGGTGGGGGCGAGTGTGTCCCTCAGAGCCATCTTGCTGAGCAGGCTCGGAGCTCAAGTCGGGTCTGTCATTGGCACTGGGAGCCATCAGACTGCTCAATAGCTGAGCACAGTGAAAGCAAAGGAAGGAGTGTGTGCTGTGCTCTCTGCCTCCCCCTAGAGTGCAGTACCCGGCTCTGTGAGTGAACAACGAAGTACTGCAACTTTTTATAGGGGTGTGTGTACATTTGTGTGCGTTTGTGGGTGTCTGTGTATGCATATACATGTGTCTGTGTATGTGTATGTACCTGTACATGTGTCTACATATATGTACATGTATGTGTGTTTGTTTACATGTGTCTGTGTGTGTATGTACATGTGTGTGTGTGTTTGTGTGTATGTACGTACATGTGTCTGTATGTACATGTGTCTGTGTGTATATACATGTGTCTGTGCGTGTGTATTTCTGTGTATGTACGTGTATCTGTGTGTATGCGTGTCTGTACGTGCCTGTGTGTGTATACATGTGTCTGTATTTGTGTGTGTGTATGTGTATGTACATGTCTGTGTGTGTGTACAGGTGTCTCTGTTTGTGTGTGTGTTTGTTGGTGGCAAGTAACTCTTAAGGCCTGGCTAGTAGCTCAGGACTTGAAATTTTAAGCCCTGCCCTAGTCCATGTATTTCATATAAATATACTTGTTTTAATTTATTAGAGCAGTAAAGGCTGTTCACTTAGCAAATGGTAAAGCTATGTTCACTTTTAAGATAAAAAACAAAACAAAAAACAAACAATTTTTTTCTTGCAGATGACTGGATGATTAAAGCGGGCACAGCCTTATTCACTAAGTGCTAAGTGGAGCATTCACTGAATTGAATAGCCTCTACTGCTTTAGTAATGTAGCACCCTCCTGGGTTAGGTTTCCAGTGAGGTTAAGGGAAATGTACTCTTTTTTGGTTTCTCTGTAGTCAGGGGAGCAGAGTTTCATTATTTTTGGCTGTTCAGTGTCTCACAGGCTGCCGGCTCAACCACTTCTCACTGCCTTCTAGTAGGTTTTAGAATGTAGTGGGCTGGAAGAGGCAGACCCTGAGCTTGAATATTTATGGAACTCTAGCCAATCCCTGGGGGAAGGGGGGGAGTGCCCAGAAGGTGGAAAGAGGGACAATAAATAATCTGTAGCCTGGGGCAGCATGGTTATTATCCTGCAGGAGGAGATCCCAGCTTGAAGGGTTTCTGCCCTTCTGGGCAGGTTTACTGAAGCCTACACTGAGCTCATCCAGGTCCCAGCTCAGGGAGCTGTGGGAGCTGAGGAGTCGATTGCAAAGAGTTCAACGAGGTTGCAACTCATTGGGACCTGGGGGGGGATGGCTATTATTCCAGTAAGCAGTTTTGAGCCAAGTAAAGGGGGTACACTGAGGATCTGATCTAGAGATTTATGGTACAGTGTCTAGCCAATATTGGACAGTATCTGGTGACACAGTGAGTAGAGGCTTGGAAATGGGATTATTCTGACTCCAACTGCTGTATCAGTGACTTATCCTTTGCTGAGAAATCTATGCCTGGCTTGTATAAGCAGATACAATCACCGCGAACAGTCTACCAGATAGCTGAACTCACCAAACACCTGTTTTCCCATCCACAAAATCTTTATTGCATGCAGCAGGTTAACAGCAGACAACAGATGCTGCAGATGATTGAAAAGACAATATTTGCAGGTCAAAACATGACAATTTGTTTCCAGATGCGAACAGATTACATGAGGCCTAGAGACAAGCGGCCATATTCATCCCAATAATGACAGAAGGAAAAGGAAATACATCACTAGCTAGTGGGAGGGAACACAGGATGGAAGACAGAAAAAAGATGGTGCAATAACCAATATATCCATAAGATGGCAATATCTTAACTAACTATACTGATGCAAATAAACAATGGCTTAAGGAAAATTAACTATAGAAATTCTCAATTCACAGTCAATATGAACATTAACCATGACTATGCATTGTGTTATATTTTTACACAGCGCAACAGCACACTCCCCATCTGGTATTGTAAAATACCACTGTTTATAACATAACGGTAGTTATGTAAGTGCAAATAAACAGTAGTGCAATTTACAGTTGTCTTGAAGACCTGAAAGACAAAACAAACAAAAAACTTGCATATATATGCAACAAAATAACTGCATTATAATGCATCAAGTAGTGTCCATTAACCACTTGAGCTCCTGAGGATTTACCCCCTTAATAACCAGGCCTTTTTTTGCTGTTTTGCGCTATAAACAAAAAAAAAAAAAAAATTTTGAAAAGAAACAATATTTTCTACTTTCAGCTATAAAAAAATATATCGTAAACTCAAAGTTAGTAATAAATTTAAGCCAAAATGTATTCTGCTACATGTTATTGATAAAAAAAAATCCCAATAAGTGTATATTGATTGCTTTGTGTGAAAGTTATAGCGTCTACAAACTATGGTATAGATACTGTAATTTATGCCTTTTTTTGCTATACAGCGCTGCACTAATTCAAATGATAATTGCGCGGTCATGCAATGCTGTACCCAAACGAAATTTACGTCCTTTTTTCACACAAATAGAGCTTTCTTTTGGTGGTATTTTATCACCTGTGTGCTTTTTTTTGCGCTATAAACAAAAAAAAACACAAAAAGTTTGAAAAAAACAATATTTTCTACTTTCAGCTATAAAAAATATATCGTAAACTCAAAGTTAGTCATAAATTTAAGGGGCGCTAACACTATCGGAAGTCACAAGTGACACTAATACAGTGATCAGTAAAAATCTGTTCACTGTAATCAATGACACTGGTGACAGGGCAGTGAAGGGGTTAACTGGGGGGGGTTATTAAGGGGTTAAATGGGATTACTGGTGTACTAGCGGGCAAACTGGCGCTATCTGGAAGGGGCGCTAACACTATCAGAAGTCGCCAGTGACACTGATACAGTGATCAGCAAAAATCGGTTCACTGATCAGTGACACTGGTGACAGGGCAGTGAAGGGGTTAACTGGGGGGGGGGGGCGATCAAGGGTTAAACGGGATTACTGGTGTACTGGCGGGCAATCTGGCGCTATCTGGGAGGGGCGCTAACACTATTGGAAGTCGCCAGCGACACTGATACAGTGATCAGTAAAAATCGGTTCACTGATCAGTGACACTGGTGACAGGGCAGTGAAGGGGTTAACTGGGGGGGGATTTAGGGGTTAAACGGGATTACTGGTGTACTGGCGGGAAAACTGGCGCTATCTGGGAGGGGCGCTAACACTATCGGAAGTCACCAGCGACACTGATACAGTGATCAGTAAAAATCGATTCACTGATCAGTGACACTGGTGACAGGGCAGTGAAGGGGTTAACTGGGGGGGGGGGGATTAAGGGGTTAAATGGGATTACTGGTGTACTGGCGGGCAAACTGGCGCTATCTGGGAGGGGCGCTAACACTATCGGAAGTCACCAGCGACACTGATACAGTGATCAGTAAAAATCGATTCACTGATCAGTGACACTGGTGACAGGGCAGTGAAGGGGTTAACTGGGGGGGGGGGGGTTAAATGTGACCTAGGTGTGTTCTAACTGTAAATGTGTAGTGTTTTACTCACGTTTACTGTGTCTTCTTCTCTGTCTGGAACGGAATGTGTCCAGGCAGAGAAGAATGACATCATATCCTGTCCTGTGTAAATGTCAACACAGGACAGGATAGGACAGGGACCGATCATCTGATTTCAGCCAGACATCACTGGCTGAAATCTAATGATTGATCCCTCCGGGATCGAATGGTGTCACCTGCGGGTCGGCGGGAGCGCGCGCGCCCCCTGCCGGCGAAAACGTCGGGAGCGCGAAACCCGTTTTAAAACGTGGTTTTGCGCCCCAGTGCCGCCCTGCACACGTATATATACAGTGGCAGGGCGGCAAGCGGTTAAAGTTCAAGGTACATTCTTCTTGATGTGAGAAACAGGATACAACAAACCCAGGTAAGTAAGTTCAGTCTCCAAAAGGCAAGAGCAAAACAAGCTCTGTGATGGGTCTGGCTAAAGTCTTTACCGTACCTTGTCTGGCAATTTTCACCTCTACCTTACTTTCCATCATCACTAGGCAGTGATGGAAAGGTACTTTCCATCATCACTAGGCATGATCTTTACAATGAGCCTCATGGGCCATTCAACTCTTTCAGCTTGCTGGTCTATGAGCAGGACAAGGTCTCCAACTTGGAGATTAGGGTTCAAACATTGCCACTTTTTGCATCCTTGCAGAATAGGAAGATACTCCATCTTCCAATGATTTCAGAAGCAGTTGGCGAGGTGTTGTACTCACTTCCATTGATCATGGTATAGATTCCCTGCTTTAAAGTCTCCTGGTTGAACAGGAACAGACCCAAGCTTCGGGATGAGATTAGTAGCTTGAATAAGGATGGTTGGGGACTCTGGATCTGTAGACACTGGACTAAGTGGTCTTGAATTGATTATTGCAGACACTGTCCTGGCATGATCTGCAAGATTAAATTCTGATGAATAGGATACCACTGTTCAGGCCTTGAGGATTTTATAATTATCTGTGCACGGTTGCTGACATAGACATAGCAGTATTTTGTCTGATTGTATACAAGTTTGCTGTCTGTGTAGAATTTGATCTCATTCATCTGAATGTCTAGCTCACACAGTAGAAAATTTGCAATTTCTACTGATAGCACAGTCCCACAAAGTTCCAGCCTGGGAATTATGTGCTCAGGCTTAGGTGCTAATTTAGCTTTGCCAAACAGAAACCCTACATGGGTTTGATTGAGAGAGTCTCTTACCTTAAAGTAGGCAACAGCTGCTATGATCTCAGTGGATGCATCTGAGAAGATGTGAATCTCTTTTCTCTGACTCTGGCAGCAAGGGAAGCTGAAGTGAGCAGCATGGTATGTCAATTCCATCTAAGGCATGTAAATATTGTTTCCCAGGACTCCCATTTTGAATGTTTGTCTGTTGGTAATGGAGCATCCCAATCTTTTACAGTTTCTGATCCTGTCTTAATAAGGATTTACCTTGTATGATGATGGGAACCACAAATCCCAATGGATCGTTTAGACTGTTCACCCACGTTTGGTAAACAGCTTGTCTGCAGAGCTGAATTGAAAGCCAAAGGTGTCTTTTAATAGGTTTCACTGTAAGCTCAGACTTCTCTCAATGGGAGGCATGTCCATTACCAAATTTAAATCTTTAAAGCCTATGGCATGATCTCTAGGCTGAAAGGCTGTCATCACAGCAGCATTGTTTGAGGCAATCCTATGGAGTGTGAGGTTGGCCTTGGAAAGCATACCTTGAGTCACTTGAAGCAGGTCTATATTTTCTTGATCTGTGGGTAAAAATGTGAGTCCGTCATCCACGTAGAAATATCTCTCAGTGAAGTGTGGAGCATCTGCACCATACTCCTTTTCTCCATCAAGAGCAGACAAAATGTTGCAACAGCAGGCAGGGAACTGTTTCTGAAGACATGAACCTTCA